ATGATATATATATATAATATGTATTTATATATCATTGAGGGGTTTGGGGGTCAGGTGTAGAGGTAGAGACTGGTTAGGAAATTCTAGCAGTTAATCTAGGCGGGCAAGAGATGGTTCAACTTTTGCCTTTGTGCTAATCCACATGCAAATAAAATTAAACGAAAATAAATGTCATATTACCCCACTCCCTTTAAATGTAAAGGAAATATGTCTTGTTGAGATGACCCTTAAACAAATGAATGATAGCTCTTCCTTGTCTTAAAGCCCAGTCAAATTTTCTCCTGGGGATTTCTGGGGAAGAGGTGCTTCGGCCAGCACAGCAAATCCTCAGACACCTGTGGAATACCCAATGGAAACAAGTGGCATAGAGCAGATGGATGTGACAATGAGTGGGGAAGCATCGGCACCACTTCCAATACGACAGCCGAACTCTGGGCCATACAAAAAACAAGCTTTTCCCATGATCTCCAAACGGCCAGAGCACCTGCGTATGAATCTATGACAGAGCAATGCTTTTAATGAATTTAAGGCAAACAAGGTGGAGAGGGCGATGTGTGAGCATCCTGCAAAGTGAAACAAGACTCAAAATGACAGTTTCAGAGAGTCAGTGTCATTACATAGAACACTTTGGACAGAGGAAAAATAAACATGGATTTTAAAAAATCAATCAATGGTGCAAAAAAAAAAAAAACTTAAAGCAAAATAGTATTGCTGAACTCTTAGGCACATCAAGTAATTGATTCCTGGCGACATCTTCTCAACCTTATCAAGGATTTTCATGTTGATGACTCGAAACTGACAGTATTAAGGGTAGGATGTTGCTTCTGAATCACTGTTGAGTTCTGATTGTGTCAAAGAAGGGTTATCCTTTCATTAGGCAAAGTACAAAATTGCCTATAATACTTGCAACTAAGGACAAATTAGCATGCAAGCTTGGTCAAACTTTTTCCAGCAACTTGGAATCAAAGACAAAAGAAACTTACCAATTGATGTTTTACGTGCAAACAACCTGAATCTTTTTTTTATATAAATATATATTTTTCAAATAGATTTTTGATTCAGCTCATTATGAAAAACATCCCAAACTTTAAAATGCGAAATTATTGGTTGGTGTGAAGAAAGCCAGACAACTTCTGTTTCTTCTCTTGGTGAAATAATAAAATGCAAATGAATCATTGTTAACCACAGCTGTGGCTCGTTTGAGGGATTGGGGTGGACCTGGGGTTTATTTTCAGTAACCCAGCTGCAATACCTGTCTGTAATATGAGAAAACAAAAAAGAATCTATTTAATCATTTCTACTTGCAGTACTGCTATGTGCTAAGCTTAACTGGAAGCCTTGGAATGGGCATAAGTTGTATGTCCTACATTTCATCATTGTCCCGGGCCTGCATTGCACTGGAAAAAAAATCGCCACCTGTTCTTATACCAGTATTTGGTTCAAGAAGCCAAATGTGCTCAGCCTTTGGCTGAAGAACAACAAAAGAGAGTCAGGATAAAAAATACATACTGCGGTCGGCAAAGTGAGGGAGATAGGGATATCCAGGGGAAGAGGGTGTTGCTGTGGCCCACTCTCTGTCTAATCTCTTTACAGCGAATTGGTAAGATTTTCAGTTTTACTTCTTTCTACTGTTTCTGCTGTCTACTTTCCTTATATTTTTTCCTCAACAGTTTTAAAAAGAAAAAAAGGTCTATTTTTTTTTCTCCTATACTGGGGCTACATTTTTTGATTGTAAAAATATTTGATGGCCTTTTGATGAATGTCTTCCACAGTAAATAAGAAAACTTAGTGACTTAATTTAGGAAACATGTTAACAGGACACTATGTTTTTGAAATTGTAACAAAATCTACATAAATGATTTACAGGTACAAAGAATAAAAATAAAGGTAACTTTACCTTTCTTAAATATTTCCTGCCTTAAAGAGAGCATTTCCATGACTTTAGCTGGTGAAAGGGTTTAATATCTGCAGAGCTTTATAAAAATATATTTCAGTGCATACTGGTATAATAGATAATCATGCAGTTGCAGTTGAGTTCTATCACCTGTTTTTCTTTGTCTTTTATAATGTCTTCAGTCTGAGTGTGCAAAGTCAATTTGTAGTATTTTGCAACCCTAGGATTTTTTTAAATAGATGCTGCTTGCTATGTTTTCAAACCTTTTTGAGCCATAGGATCCAAGCCATAAAATTCTTTATGCATGTTGAATTCAGTCAGAAAAGAGCAAGGCTTTGCTTTTTGAAATTGCAACCCAAATGAGATGGGATGAAATCCTATGACAGTAAGCAAAAACAGAACCATGAAAAATGATTGGAAATATACATTTTCAATTGTGGCAATAATTGAAAGAATAGATAAAAGCTCATCTTTGGACAGAAAGCCTTTTTTAAAAAAATCACTCCCTCTTACCCCTCCTCCCTTATTGCAGCAGCCTACTGAGAACTTTATGACTGTTGCTGGTAAATTAGAAGCTACAATAATAATTAAGGGCAGAAATTATACTTTAAAGTGCAGATCCTTGTTCTCTGACAATTTGTGATATCTGAAAAAACAGAACCCGAAAAGCTATGGTGATATGTACAGGCATTATTTCAGACTGTAAATGGCTTGTGATACTCTTAATACTTGTTTTCAAATATGTTTACTAACTGTAGTGTTGACTGCCTGACCAAATTCCAGTGAAACTTATACACCAAAATATTCCTCCTAGGTCCTATTTGCTAGTAACATGAGCACTGTGATTGGTTGGCTATAACCACCCCAGTTAAACCATTTTCATAATTAGTAGTGCCAGCAATAGTGGCAAACACTGCAACTTTTCTGCATAAAAAGCATTAATTGCACAGCTACCATCCACACAAATACATAGTTTTTCTGACTTCACATTTATTAAGTGAAATTTATTTCCCATGCTGTGGAAAGTTTATTGAGAACTTGTTTCATAAATGGATATCCCTACTATGACTGTGAAAACATGTCAAGTGTCACATTAGTGTCACAGACAGAAAGCACACACCTATGCAATATGGCTTATCTATATTTATTTGTAAAAATCCAAGCATAGTTTAAAATATGATGTCGATATTACTAGTCTTGAGTTTCTAAGAGGGTTCTTTATGATTATACCAGGTAAGTGTATAAAAGAGATTAAGTGCTTTTTTTTCATCACTTGATTATTTTCTTTAAAATCAGCTATTACAGGATATTTTTTTATTTTATACATGCTGTTTTTTAATTAAAATATAATCACTGAATTGAAGTTTACTAATTTGATTTTATAAGGTTTGTAGCATTACAGAATAACTAAACTGGGATTTATAAACCAGCTGTGATTAACAATGTAAAGTATTAATTATTGAACTTTGAACCAGATTTTTAGGAAAATTACGTTCCTTTTTCCCCTTTTATGGTCTTAACTAATTTGAATCCTTCAAGAAGGATTTTTCCATACTATTTTTTGAGATAGAAGATAATTTGAGGGGAGGGGTGGAGGATGCATGTATGATATTCCATAAATTCAACATTCTTTACTATAGGTGATAAATGATTATAAACAAGATGCATCTTAGATAGTATTAATATACTGAGCCTTGGATTATATATTTAATATAGGACCTATTTTGAATATTCAGTTAATCGTATGGTTCCTAGCTTACAAGGGCTAGATCTAAGATTATTCCCTTGAGAAATGTTGAATTTATGAAGAATAGATTTTAAGGCTTTGAAAATGGTTAATTTTTCAAAAACATCAGTGTCCAAACATCTACCTTTTTCACAGGAGTAGACACTAGCAAGCTGGACAAACTATCACAAAAGTATTTGTCACACATAACCTGTGGTCTGTTGCTGATTAATACAGTACTTTTTCTTGTGTGATTCTTAACATTATAGCACAAGTATTATCTCAGTGGATTATCTGGAATAACATCTGAAAGATGGGTTCGTCTATGTTTGTGTTTGCTCTTTAAACTATTGTTTCTCCTATCCCAAGTTGGCTTTGCATCTATCAGTAAATAAAATTCTTCAGCTGCCTTATTAGGAGTGCTATGAGGGTAACACCTTTTCTGCTTTCCATCTTGTATTTAGTTTACTGTATTATTTGATTTCGGATTGAATGAATGTAAATAGAAATTAAATGCAAATTTGAATGAACATAAAATAGAAGTGATTTATTTTTTATTATCCTACGATAGGAAGAAATTAGTATATATATCAGGTATATAAATGGTTTAAATTTATTTTCATTAACATGTCAGATGTGTTCAAGTTGTCATATAAATAAACTATGTAAGGAATGGGTTAAAAGCTGTTCTGCTGAGAAATTGAAGCTATTTAAGTATGTAACAAGTTTACTGATTTTTATGTTAAATGTTACACATCTTTGATTTTCATGTCAGATAGTAGACACGAATTGTTTACTTTAAAAAAATACATGTAACAACCTACGTGAAAGCTAGCTTCACAAAAAACTCTAGGAAGACCTTCTTGTGCTAACAATCAACAATTTGTTCAGCCATACTTGGTCAGCTACATTTGAAAATTTGATGTGTATGCACAAAATAACGTAGTGAACAAATCTGTTTTAACTAATGTCTCAATATATCCAGTGTAAGCTGGGTATTCTGCACAAACCACTTCTTATCTGTGAGGTAATTATACCACACTTGCCAAGGGAATTTCTCTACAGAAGCTCTCAAACTGATTTTACCTTGCTATACAACATAGTAGCATACCAATACTGGTAAAACAATCTTTTAGAAGTCATGATTTGAATTCAGAATAAATGAGTTTCTGAATCTGTATTACCTTTTTTTGAGGTGAAGGAATAGAGGGATGGAAGAAATGCTTCCAGTTCATCAGCATTGTTATTGGATGGCATAGCTCCATTAGATTTTCTCCCTTTTCAATTTATAGGTAAACTGCATTCCCCAAAAAAATAAAAAACCCACCATGCACCTCCTTGGTTATTTAATCACATTAAGAAACAGTACTGTCTGAATAGTTACAGGGTAAACAAATTGTATTACATAGGTATTGTAATAGGGCTGAAGTAAAATGCTATTCTTGTGTTTGAACAGGAAGTCATCTTGGCTATCCTTCACAGCCGAATTGTAATCCCAAATTGTTTTTCTCACCCATCCTCTGCTGTATACCTAAATAATACAACTATTAGCATCACCACAAAGCCATTTAAATATTTGTAGTGGGTCTCAAAGTAGATAACAAAGTGAAATATACTATGATTGAATACAGTTGTCCTTACAACGTGGTAGTATTTACCTGGAGAAAAAAAGGTACAGGCTTGCTAATGTTCATTTGTCAATTTGGATGGCCATACAGTCATGAAAGTGCCTTCTATAACCAGTTGGTCAGTATCCTTATTAATCCACGTGCTGGTTTAGCTTTTGTCTTACCGGTACAGCAAATTTGTTTTCTAGCTCTGCTTCCTAAGTTCTCCTTTCTACCACCTTTTCCTCGACTACAAACTGATAGATGTACTCTAAACTTAGAAGCACTAGCAGCCCTTCAGACATGTTTTAGATTTCAGATTCCTCCTTAGAGGTAACAAGGGGAGAAAGTGCTTCATTCCCTTTTCTAACACCCTGCACAAATACCTAGAGGCAAAAAACCACACTATAAAAACCTCATGACCACCTCTCAGTGCAAGCTTTAATCTTCCAATTGATGGTGATTCAAGCATAAAATTCCAAAACTTTTATGGAGAAGACTAATTATAAGGGCAATTCTTCTAAGATTTTAGGGCATCTGCCTTGAAACTTTTTTCTTTTTTTTTTTTTAAATAGAGATGGGATGTTGCTCAGGCTGGTCTTGAACTCCTGGGCTCAAGCAGTCCTCCTGCCTCTGCCTCCCAAAGTGTTGGGATTACAGGTGTGAGCCACCATGTTTTTTATACTATTCAAATCATGAAGTAAGCCAGCTGTTTGTAATCCACATGAATTATTTTAATAGTTACTTCAAGATACTCCATGGTACTATACAAAAAGCATGATCATGAACATTAAAGCTGATGGCAGGAAGAATTTATGACGTCCACAGACAAAATGAATCCATTTATTTTCACTGATTACTAGTCTTACTACAGAGAATAATACAATACTAAAATGTATCATCCTCAGTAAATTAATCTTCACTTAGAAAATCTGTTACTGATAAAATATAACATTTAGAATTTTCATTTAAAAATACAAATTTTATGAAAATATTAATTTTTAGGATGGGAATTATAAAAGTCAATGCTGAACAAAATTCTACTATTAGATAGTATGTATCTTAAAATATTATGAAAAATATTCTTTATTCTGAAAACAATGTCAGGAAAGAATACCTGAGTTCTCTAAATCCACTAGTTCTAATTTCAAATTGCTGTTTTGGGTAACATTAAGAAAACACATTTACAATTTAACACTGCAGTTACCTGTCAAATAATTAGAATAGAATAAGTGTTGCACATACATTAGGTTGAACATTATATATACTTTAAAATAGGGTTCTTTCATTTAATCTTTTGGTGAATTGGACCATAAGTCTTACATTCTAAAACCATCTGGAAACATTTTTCTTGCAGCCCTGAAAATCATTCTGATGCCTTATCAGGAGTTATGACCAAATGACATTAGTATTTTGTGGCCTTAATAGTTTATACAACTTAATATATTTGAAGGTGTGATGAAGTGGCTCCATCTTTCCATTTGTTTATATGGTCTGAAATCACAGTTCTGCAGAGTGGACATGTTTTCTCTCTGTTAAACCATAAGGTAATGCACTCTTCACAAAATATATGCTGTAATGGAATTAAGAATTAGATTTTATACTTGATAATAATTTTAAATCCATCACATTGTAGGGAATGAAAGGGATTCTTTTTTTTTTTTGAGATGGAGACTGGAGACTTGCTCTGTCACCCAGGCCGGAGTGCAATGGTGCCATCTCGGCTCACTGCAACCTCCACCCCCCACAGGTTCAAGCGATTCTCCTGCCTCAGCCTCCCAACTTGCCGGGATTACAGGTGCCTGCCACCACCATGCCCAGCTAATTTTTGTATTTTTAGTAGAGACAGGGTTTCACCATGTTGGTCAGGCTGGTCTCGTACTCCTGACCTCAGGTGACTCACCCACGTGGGCCACCCAAAGTGCTGGGATTACAGGTGTGAGCCACTGTGTCCAGCCTGAAAGGGATTTTGAAGAGCACTAATCCCCTCATTTTACAATTGTGAAAATGGAGAACGTATGAGACATTCAAGAAGCAAAGAGCAGTATGATTGGCACTAGTGTTCTGGCTGTACCATCCATTTAACCATAAAAGTTATACTTAGGTGACACCTTTAAGATTAAGTGTGATAACAGCTTAAAGTCTTGGAGTTACTAGTAACTGCCATAAAGTATAGGAAAGGGCCACAATCCAGTAACAAATGGTGTTGTTCTAAATGGCTAGTATCCAATTATAAAAATAGCCTGTTTTTTAATCACTTTGGTATTCAATCTGCCAGTTAAATTACTTTTCCCTTTTATACACTCCTCTGCATAAAAATTTTCAGAATATAAGGGACAAAGCCAATCCACCAATCCCCGATAATGAATAAATTACTAGTATGTACACTGACTGCTACCTTCCACTAAACACTAGATTTTTTTTTTTTTTTTTGCCTTACAACAAACATAAATGTGACTTTTGCAAGTCACAGAAAAGTGTTGTATTTAGGTTTTTAAATTTAAAAATATAATTACCTGACAGATGAGAAGAACTGGCTTCTGAAATTCAGCTTGACATATTGAACAAATATCATCCACATCTGAACACTGTCTCTTGCTGGCAGCCACTCCATAACTCTATGAAGATAGTAAGTTCTGTTCATCTACAGATTTCCTTCTTTCCTGTTCTCAAATTACATAAGTGATGCTATACTTCTCAAATCTCCCTGGAACCAGGCATTTGAAAACCTTCCCAAAGGATACAAACATTTCAAAGCTGAACTACATATACAGAACCACCTCTTGAGTGTACCAAGATGAAATCATTAAATAATACATAATAGGATTTTGGAAGATTGTTATATCTACTAGCTTTCCAAAGGATGACAGTGCTTCAAATTCAACATAACTGGCTTAAGAGACTAGGCAATCTGAAACATAACTATTATAAAATCTATAGCCATGTATTATTTGACCCTGGACTGCCAAATGGAGCTCACTTATTGCCTGCAGCAGTGGTTCATAAAATCAATCCAGCCAGAGCTTGGCTGGCTGAATGTAACTCATGTGGAAAGCTTGCTTTAAAAATAGATTCCTCTGTTCCACACAATATTGATTCAGTAGGACCAGACACATTGGGATGTGACCCAGTAATCTATTATTTGAAAGGTCTCCAAGTGACTGCAATATGAAGAAGACTTAGGGACCACTGAAGAGTGTTCTGCCACTAGGTCTAAAAATTATTCCAAATTATAAAAAGCATTTAGTGCTAAACATGAAAAAGTTTTACAGAGAAACTGCAACTGTAAATGTCGCTTGGGTAGAATAACTACTGTGAAAACTAACTGAACAAAAATGCAATTATTTGAATTTTCTTCTCTTCTAATGTCCTAAAAACAAGTTTCTCGTCTCTAAGATTTTAACTTCCTCACCAGATTCAGAACTTAGTCATTAACTAGATGTGACGTTAATAACCCTCAGTGAAATTTGGAGAAATCAAAATGTTACAGATGAAACCTGCTTTCTGTAGAAATGATGGGGAAGAGGTAACTAAAGAGATGTAAAAACACCCAAGTTCAGTCACGGTCATGAGGGTAAAACATGACTTAACATATCTGAAGTTACGTAAACTTCTTGTACTAAACGTCTCAGGCTAACAACATCAAAATCAAAGTAAAACTCAAAGGAAAAAGATATTAAAAGTTAGGTCTTTTTGAGACTGGTGATAAAGATTTCAGAAACAAGTCAGAATACTGTTAGATGATCTTGGTGTCAATTTCCCTTCAGTAAGGTATCATTTAGCAAAGTACATGTGCAGATAATTATGCTGACAAGCTTTTAAAACATTACTCATCTGGCATCTTGGAGACTCCCTCTCCAGATAGTAACTGCCATTGCCCTGGTAAAGGAGACTTGAACAAATCAAAGTATTGATGACTGATATCCTCTCTATAGTTTGTCTCAGAGAAAGAATATCAGGGTATTTTCTTGAGAGTGTTTCGGCACAAATCTTACAAGACCAATTATAGTAAAATGGTTGATGCTCACATAATCATCAGTTGAACTGACTTGGACAAAGCTGAACTCTCTGAATTTTATTATGTCTTGTCTAGAGAAAGAAGCTTACATAGGATGTAGCAAAGTTTGTTTCTACATTGCTAGCTCTATCTTAGGGAAAAGATGCCCTGGCCAGTTAGTCTGGTTTACTTTGTACACATAAAACTTTTTTTTTTTTTTTTTTTTTTTTTAACAGTATATTACTCTGTTGGCATTCTTTTAAGTCAGTCTCCTTGAGCCCTGGTGAAATGACTGCAAAGTTGAGAATCAAACCCTGAAATCTGGTGACCACATGTAGGTACTGGGAACCTTTCAGGCTACTAAGTAGTAAATTAGGGTTCTCTATGACATCCTTTCACTGCAATTTGCAACATCAATAGAATCACATAATCATATTATAAATGACATCAGAGTCTCAATTAATTGTTAAATTTCATGCCATGAACTTATTTGTGCACATATAATCGAGCAATGGGGAAATTTGCTCCAGTAAGAAAACTGCAAGAGACATGATTTTTGGCAATGAGCTTTCTAAACATACACAATAAATTATAGTCAAAGGATTTTCACAGGTGAATAAGGAGTTAATAGGAACACGCAAAGCCCCCATTTGTGGATTAAAAAAGAGGAACAAAAGTTCATAAGATTTTTAAGGGTTTACAAGCCCTTAAAAATGTCAAATGGATTGAAGGGGCAAGAGACAAGTTCAAATATATAAGCACTCCAACAATTAGCAGGTGGTTGTCAATGTGTGTTTCAAGAATCTGATCATAGAGATAAAATTCCTAAATTATTATAGCCCCAAGTGCCAAAGTACTAGAAAATCATCAAAGTAAAAGAAAAGGATCATCCATTTATGAAATCCATTCTTGTAAAACTGCTGAACTAAAAAAATTTTAGCAATGAAGAATGGTGAAGGTGTTTTTCTTAAATTGATAAAAAGTACTTACTGGTTGTGTAAAAAATATTCGTAAAACCTGTCTGAAAGTTCTCAGATGCCCAAAAAATTCCAAAAGCTGAAAAGGGAAGTAAGAGATCATTTATTAATTCAACAGTCCTATCTGCTAAACCCAAAAACCAAAGCTGAAACCCCGTAACATCAAATCCTCATATTAACTTAATGCTCATTATATGTCACAAGTAATCATTTTGTGCTGAATATTTTATTCAATTTATAGATTTGAGCCATCTCAGCAAGCTGAAGTACATTTAAACACCTAGAGTAACAATTTGATCAAGACAAATACAAACAACTATGTCAAAGTCAAAGTAATTTTATCTGATTCACGTTTTTAACATTTAGATTTTATTTTATTACTATTTTTGAGACAGAGTCTCACTCTGTCGCCCAGGCTGGAGTGCAGTGGCATGATTTCAGCTCACTGCAACCTCTGCTTCCCAGGTTCAAGCAATTCTCCTGTCTCAGCCTCCTGAGTAGCTGGGACTGCAGGCGCCCGCCACCATGCCTGGCTAGTTTTTTTTCGTATTTTTAGGAGAGATGAGGTTTCACCATGTTGGCCAGGCTGGTCTTGAACTCCTGACCTCGTGATTCGCCCACCTCGGCCTCCCAAAGTTCTGGGATTACAGGCGTGAGCCACCGCGTCTGGCCAACATTTAGATTTTAAAGTTTCAGAAAGTGATTATTAGGTTGAGGGGCACAGGCATGGAGCGAACAGGGCAAGGTACTCTACTAGTTTAAGAATTATGTGTATGACAGTGTTACTACCGAGGATGGGTATGTTCTATTCCACTTGTTTTCCCTACTTAGATAATCCATGCTATGTGAAAGTCTACTCCCCTTCCCTCCAATGAAAACTGAGGACCGCTGGATTAAGATAGTCTATTTCTGTTTCTCCATTTCTAAACAGAAATAGAACCTGCTATTACTTCAAACTAGTGATACAAAGATAAACTATAAAACTGTTAAAGAGGAAAACAGTAGTATATATCAGTAATCATTAACATGAATCATGCAGTGACAAGATTTGTAATGTTACCTACTTTTAGTACGAGGTAGAGTAAAGCCAGCAATATCCCAAGACTCCATCTAGTTACGTTAGCAAACTCCCCATAGCTTATAAGATAGCGAAACCAAACTGGTATGGGAACAAAAGTTCGGTAGTATTGACATAATTCTTCTAAAAGCATGTACCAGTAACCCTAAAAAATAAGAAAACAAATAGATCTACCCAAACTACTTAACTATATAGCACAAACAATACTAGACTAAGAACACTGAGTATATGATACAATAATATAAATAACTATAAAATTAATCTTCATAATGATTATGACTGAACCTCAAGTGGTTCTCACATATTACAGTCACTGAGTGGTCTGCTTTGAAAGAATTTCTAGGCTGGACATGGTGGCTCCCAGCACTTTGGGAGGTCAAGACGGGCAGATCACCTAAGGTCAGGAGTTCGAGACCAGCCTGGCCAACATGGTGAAACCCTGACTCGACTAAAAATACAAAAATTAGCTGGGTGTGGTCGTGGACACCTGTAATCCCAGCTACTCAGGAAGCTGAGGCAGGAGAACTGCATGAACCTGGGAGGTTGCAGTGAGCCAAGATCACACTACTGCACTCCAGCGTGGGCAACGGAGTGAGACTCAGTCTCAAAAAAAAAAAAAAAATATATATATATATATATATATATGTAGTGAAAATGTTTTATGTATATTGCAAGTAAAACCTATGTGAGTATGTTTTTGCTGACTATAAAAATTTAAAAGTTTTAATTGCCTATGGGAAACCACTGAATAATTGTATATAGTCAACTGTCAATTGATAATGCCTTGGAGAACAGAAGTACAAATCTAAATAGTTTCCCATATATGATGTGGGGACTGATTTTTAAATTATTCTGAAGCAAATATAATTCTGATTTTATCCAAATAGGTTAATAATCAGGTTCAAGTGCCTCAACAAATGGTTGCCAAGCTGAAATAATACAGATAATTAAAGCTAGTTAGCAAACTGACAAATTCCAAAAGGAGGATTCATTTAAACAAAGACTAAATAGCATTAATGTGATTTGTTAACATCACTCCAATAAAGCATAAGTTAGTTTCTTACCTTAGATTTAAAAGGCATGATGAAAGAAGGCACCAATAAAATAAGGCATTTTAAGCCCATGAAAAAGAATTTCAGAATGAAGTCTGTAATTCCAACAATCCAAAGTACTTCCCAGAAGCTCAAATGGTCCAAAGTAGGATTTAAAAAAATTAAGCTACCAAAAGAAAAACATCAGAATTTACCAGAGCAACATACAAAGGTAAAGTATTAATAAAGGGTTTTAATTTGCTACAAATATTTTGATATGTAAAAAATATGAATTTGGCAGGATGTCAGAGTTCATAATAATGGAATGGAGGATCATTTTGCTTATTTTAGAGAGACTTTTAGAATGTTTGGATTTTAGATCTTCCCTTTATAGAATAAGGAAAAAGTCTTCAGTTTGTCATAGTTGACACCTTTCTAGCCTGTAAACGAGAAAAACTCATCAATACCAAACATCTGCCATGTTTTTCTTAACCAATTCCAATTAAGATTCCATCTCTTCCTTTCAGTGAATTGCTTGTCAAGATCATCAACTCCCTCTGTATGGCTAAATTTCAAGGTCACTTCTCTTTTTCCGTCTTCCCTCCCTGAATAATTTTCTTTCTAGACTTTTAACACAACACTCTTCTATTTCTCGTATTTCACTGCTGGTTTCTTCTTGGTCTCCTTTGCTGTTTCTCTTCTAATTGTGGTCATGTCCAGTACTGGGCTCTCTGTCTACACTCTCTCTTTCCTGGGTTAGTTTTGTCCAGTCCTGTGGTTTTAAAATATCAACCGTATGCTCCTGGTACCAAAATTTATAGCCTTAACCTCTACCCTGAGTTCATGACATATATTTGGTACCACTTTCTTATCAATTCTACTTAGCCTCTCAAACTTAACATGTTCAAAACAAAATTACTGATTTTTCTCCTCAAAATCAGTTCCTTCCTCAACCCAATGAAATGACACCACCATCCAGCCAGCTGCTTAAACTAAAAACCCAGAGGTCATTCTTGCTTCTCTCCACCCACCTACCCAATCCAGTCCATCTGAGGGATACTGGCTCCACCTCCAAACTATATCCCAGATTTGCCCATCTCTCCAACTCCAGTGAAACAAGGTCTTCTAATATTCTAGTAAAAGCTGAAAATTCACAATACTGCCATTTGACATGGAAACTTATCAGCTACTGTCATTTAGTAAGTGTTCTTACTTTCAGAAACAAAGACCAACAATAACAACCTAATGGTACTTTAAAAATATGGAATATATGGCTGGGCGCGGTGGCTCGCGTGTGTAATCCCAGCACTTTGGGAGGCTGAGGCGGGCGGATCACAAGGTCAGGAGATTGAGACTATCCTGGCCAACATGGTGAAACCCCGTTTCTACTAAAAATACAAAAAATTAGTCAGGCGTGGTGGCAGACGCCTGTAGTTCCAGCTACTCGGGAGGCTGAGGCAGGAGAATGGCGTGAAGCCGGGAGGCGGAGCTTGCAGTGAGGCAAGATCACACCACTGCACTCCAGCCTGGGCAACAGAGCGAGACTGCCGTCTCAAAAAAAAAAAAAAAAAAGGAATATATAAACAAAAACTCAGGTATCAAAAAATTAAATATTTATTGAGCATCTGCTATGTGACAAGGCACTGGGGATACAAAATCTGAATAAGTCACTTAAAGCTCTCACTTATGAGGCTGGGCACAGTGGCTCACACCTGTAATCCCAGCACTTTGGGAGGTTGAGGCAGGCGGTTCACGAGGTCAGGAGTTCAAGACAAGTCTGACCAACATGGTGAAACTCCATCTCTACTAAAAATACAAAAATTTGCCAGGCGTGGTGCCAGCTACTCAGGAGGCTTAGACGGGAGAATTGCTTGAACCTGAGAGGCAGAGGTTGCAGTGAGCCAAGATCAAGACACCGCACTCCAGGCTGGGCGACAGAGTGAGACTCCACCTCAAAAAAGCTCTCACTTGTGAAAGGAGACAGTTAAAAACCGAATTGAATTGAATACAATAAGTACTATGTGAAGTAAGATACAAAGTGCTATGAAATATATGATTACATTAAAAATGTAATTGTGTATTTGGACCTCTAATTACCTGTAATAAAGTGACTGAGAATGAAAGGTGTAATATAAAAGAAGAGAAGATCCTGCTAAGAATACCAGTAACCAAGCACACTGAATCTTTGAGGACCTTTCCTGAAAGATAAACAATTTTATAATGTTACTTTGATTTTGCCAGAATTTTAAATATCATTAAACTGTTTAATGACTATTAACTTAGAATATTTTTCTAAATTAATCTTAATATAGAATATCTGTTAAACTGTACATAATCATCACAGTTACTGTTTTATACAACTTTAGTGACCAAACACAACTCATATATTAAACAAATGTTTAAAATACAAGTTTCTTCACTGTATGAAAAACATTACCTATGTTTCAAAGAAGCCAAGTCTTCTCTCAAAAAAAAAAAAAGGAAAATTAAATTAAATTAAAAAAAAAAAAAGCAGCCAGGTCTTCCACAAGCTGACATAAAGGACCCACCCAGGACGAGGGCAGTGGCTCACACCAGTAATCCCAGCACTTTGGGAGGCCTAAGTCAGTGGATCATTTGAGGTTAGGAGTTTGTGACCAGCCTGCCCAACACGGTGAAACCCGTCTCTACTAAAAAAAAAAGTACAAAAGTTAGCCAGGCGCGTGGCACGTGCCTGTAATCCCAGCTACTCAGGAGGCTAAGGCATGAGAATCGCTTGAACCCAGGAGGTAGAGGTTGCAGTGAGCCAAGATCACGCCACTGCACTCCAGCCTAGGCGACAGAGTGAAACTCTGTCTCAGAAAAAAAAAAAATGGACCCACCCACAAAAGAAAATTTCAAAATGCATTTTAACCTTGATTCACTTGTCAAGGTTTTATATTTAAAAAATTACCAGATTATAAGAATTTAATAAATTAATGTTTTAATCTCACTTCTTTTTTTATATGGGGTCTCGACACATTGCCCAAAACTCCTAAGCGCAAGCATTCTTCCCAACTCAGCCTCCCAAGTAGTTGTAATCTCCCTTTATTTTTTTTTTGAGACAGGGTCTCACTCTTTCACCCAGACTGGAGTGCAGTGGCATGATCACAACTCACTGCAGCCCCAACCACCTGGACTCAGGCAATCCTCCCACCTCAGCCTCCCAGATAGCAGAGATTATAGGCACATACCACCACGCCCAGCTAATTTTTTGTAGAATTGGGGTTTTTTGGCCATGTTGCCCAGGCTGGTCTTCAATTCCTGGGCTCAAGCAATCTGCCCATCTCAGCCTCCCAAAGTGCTGCGATTACAGGCATGAGCCACTGTGCCTTTCCTGTAATCTCACTTTTAAAGTCAAGTTTAATGAAGTTTACTAATTTCAGATCATTAAGATTTCTCTAGTTTGACAGGTTTAACTATAAATTTCCAGGTCAGAATGCATACTTTACACAGGCATAGCCATTTAAAGTTGCTTAAAGGTGAAATTTTAGAAACTCATCCTATTTTTCCCAATGATTTATATGACTAGGGCTCGTGTAACTTATGTTACAGAAAAATTCCTTGGGTTTAGTTTTCTTTTCTTTTTTTTTTTTTGAGACGGAGTCTTACTCTGTCGCCAGGCTACAGTGGCACGATCTTGGCTCACTGCAACCTCTGCCTCCTGGATTCAAGCAATTCTCCTGCCTCAGCCTCCCAAGTAGGTGGGACTACAGGCAAGCGCCACCACGCCCAGCTAATTTTTGTGTTTTTAGTAGAGATGGGGTTTCACCACATTGGCCAGGCCGTTCTCAAACTTCTGACCTCAGGTGATCATGCCCGCCTGCGCCTCCCAAAATGTTGGGATTACAGGCATGAGCCCCTGCGCCCAGCCTAGGTCTTTTTTTCTTTTTTTGAGACAGAGTCTTGCTGTGTAGCCCAGGCTGAAGTGCAGTGTTGCGATCTCAGCTCACTGAAACCTCCACCTCCCGGGTTCAAGTGATTCTCCTGCCTCAGCCTCCCGAGTAGCTGGGAATACAGGCACATGCCACCATGCCTGGCTAATTTGTTGTATTTTTAGTGGAGACAGGGTTTCAACGTGTTAGCCAGGATGGTCTTGATCTCCTGACCTTGTGATCTGCCCACCTCAGCCTCCCAAAGTGCTGGGATTACAGGTGTGAGCCACCATGCCCAGCCACTAAAAGTTTTTAATGATGATATTACCTAGTATGGTCAAAGTAACTCATACAATATGAAAGGACTTACCAAATCAGATCAAATTGTGTGTTCTAGCTCTTTTAATCCTTTTTACTACTTTTTCTTTAACAGTAACCAATTTTTTTTTCTTACAAAGAAGGTAAAGTGAAGGAATTCAGCATTAGGAGAGGTAATTTATTCCAGGATTTAGATAACAAATTTAATATATCATGGATGTTACAATATATCCCATTACTTCCTATTTCTTTCAAAAGTTATTTCCTATTTCTCTCAAAATTATTTCTCTAAAATCTATGGAGAGAAACAGTTAATAATTTTTTAGTTGCTTGTTATACTTACTCTTAGAAAAACCTGATTTACAATGCTTTTGTTTGCATACATAAAAGTTGTTAGCAGCCCAATTCCAAGAGAAATTCCTGTTAGAAAATAAGTTCCAGTTAATTGAAAGAAAAAAAAATCAAAGAGGATTATATAAACAACATAAATTAAAAACATACACAATAATAAAAGCTAACAGAAAATAAGTAACTGAATGCATTAAGTAGATTACCAATAATGAAAGAAAATTAACTGAATTTAGGAATGAAAACAAGTCAATTATGCCCTACCTGTTATATGCTGCATAACAAGTTTGACACTCAGAATCAAAATATATGGAAGACTTTTTTGCAACCACTTGAAGAGATAGCGGAATTCTGAGAAGGAGCTACTACCATGATCTCCAGATTCTGCGGCAGTATCATCAGGCAGCCTTGCTTCACTGTGGGAGTGACCCCGTAAGCGACTGTGTACGCATCCATGGGCACAGCTATGGACACCTGACCTTGTATTTCTGGAGCCTGTATTTTCTGCACATTCTTTAGGTATAGAGTTTATCTGGATATGAACATCTCCAGAATGAAGACAAGACCCTTCTCCTGTCAATCTTGTGTGGACACACTGAGGGGTTGAAGCATCCTCACTGCTTCCAGTTCCTGGAGGACTGTGCAGTTGGCTACGATTGGCTTGCATGGCCCTTAAATACTTTTTCTCTGACCCAGATGTCTTTGCTTCAGGGCTCTGTCTCCTAAGAAATCAAATAGAAAATACTCTAAGTAAACAGGTAGTTAAATACCGTCAGTATATTCCTCACTGGGTATCCTTTATTCACTACAGGAGTAGCAAATAATCACAGCAGATGAATTTTCAGGTTATTTATCACTGGAGTCCTCCTTTCTCCCTTAATGCCAAGGCTCTGCTGCCCTACACAAATGATCTTTTAGGGAACATTTGCTACCAAAAAAAAGTTGAGCTGCAAATGCTTTCAGTTCCCTAACGTCAGAAGGCATCCGCAAAACAGTCATGAAGTATGAGTGCCCAGCAGATGTTAATAAGCACCAGTCCTCACTGGATACTCTGGTACATTTACTTTGCCCAACTGGAGCAGTTTCATCTCTGATGTAGCTTCTACATCAAAGAAGTTTCATAAGGAAGAGTGAGTCAGTATTTTTTAATGGTTGGAAATGTTAGGAAGAAAAACGACATTAAATCTTAATGCCTTACTATCATCATAGGTAACTAATAATAAACACTGTACTTAGGTGACCTACAAATTACATTTTCTGCTCAAGCAGCTTTCCCAAAGCTCATAAAGTTTCCAATAATTAATAGTGCTACCAAGAATATTACCTCCCCGCGCAAAAGAATGTTACCTAAATACATTTAAAGCATAGATACTGTGGGGAGTCACCATGTAATTGCTAGGTAACTCTTTAGTCTGAATAAGCACAGTTACACAGTCGACCTAATAAAATGCCACCGTCGGTGGTGTATGTATTACGGAGGGAGGGGTGTGAGGAAAGAGGACCCTAGCAGAGAAAGATCTCTCTAACAGATGATCCAGTGTGGACCTCCTGGAACCAGAAGAACAGAGTGGGCATCCCAGCTGACAATACGCAGAGCCTATCCCACGCCGCCGTGCTTTTCCCGTTTGTCTAGGAGGAGGCTAGAGTTCACTTCAGGGAATGTTCTGTGTCATTCTATTTCACTCCCAGGACTGAACAGTGGTGCAGTCACCGTGTCTGGCGGTTTGGGTTTCAGTGCTTTTCACTAAAGGCTTTCACCGAGGCCCCGACGCCACGGGTGTTATTTCGTCAAAACTCTGAAGAGCGACGTTGGACAGCAGGGTTTCAGTGTCTTTTCTATAAATAACATAGAACCCTCCCACTTTCCTTCATGCACAGACAAGAAAGAGGAGAAAAAAGGGAAGAAAAGTCAACACAACTCTTCCGGAATCTCCGAGGGCAGAGTTCTCCACCCACGTCCGAGCCTCGAGTGCCTATTCTCCCCAGAGCCCCCTGCGCCGCGGCCCCTCGCCGCCACCTCCTCTGCCCGCTTCCCCCAGGCCTGACCTCTCATGACCAGAAGCTGACGGAGGTGTCGGGAGCGACAGCAAGAACAGCGGCATACGCCGCCTCCAGCCCTTCAGTCGGAGCCATCAACCGCAAACCCCGCAAGCTCTTCTCTCAGCCCGGCGGCGGCGGCGGCGGCGCCGGCGGCGGCGCGCGCGCTCCCCGGACGTTCTCACGCGCGCGCACCCTGCCCCTGCTCCGCCTCCTAGCCCCGCCCCCGCGCCGCGCCGAGAGGGGAGCTCGCGGCGGCAGGGGGCTGTTGGCTGCGAGAACAAGCGGGTTGCGCAGGAGAAAGACCTGCAGGCCTGGCGCTAAACAATAAGTGGTTGTTACGAGTTATGTATTTATGTGGCATCCACCACACGCCTCCGAGATCCTGGGCGTTTTGAGGTTAAAAATGTTCAGGCTTCGAGAACCAACCCCTGGAGGAGTGTTAGGGTTTCCGGGCTCGGGTGTCCGCGAGCTTGACGCTTGACCCAGTTGTGTCGTCTGGGCGGTGACGTTTGGTCTGAGCTGAGCTTTCCTCACAATCGTGAAGTTGGTCTGTGAGGATCAGGCCTCGCCAGACAGATGAGAAGCTAGAGGTGCGGAGAGTCTGCGTGGGGTGGAAGTAGAAGTTAGAGTTGAAAAACCTGTCTTGGGTGGGGTATAGAGGACCCTACTGCCCTCAAAATAATTATGTTAATCTAAAACTGTTCTAAAATTAAAAAGTTATTAAGAAAACGAAGTTTAGGTCGGGCGCAGTGGCTCACACCTGTAATCCCCACTACTCGGGAGGCTGAGGCATTGAACCGGGGAGGTGGAGGTTGTAGTGAGCCAAGATCGTGCCACTGCACTCCAGCCTGAGCAAGAGAGTGAGACTCGGTCTCAAAAAAATAAAATAAATAAATAAATAAATTCTGTTAATCTAAAACTGTTCTAAAATTAAAAGATCATTAAGAAAACGAAGTTTAGGCTGGGCATGGTGGCTCACACCTGTAATCCCAGCACTTTGGGAGGCCAAGGCAGGTGGATCACAGGGTCAAGAGATCGAGACCATCCTGGCCAAGATGGTGAAACCCTGTCTCTATTAAAAATACAAAAATTATCCGGGCGTGGTGGCGGGGACCTGTAATTTCAGCTACTCAGGAGGCTGAGGCAGGAGAATCACTTGAACGCGGGAGGCGGAGGTTGCAGTGAGCCGGAATTATCCACCCTGGCAACAGAGCCAGACTCTATCTCAAAAAAAAAAAAAAGAAAAGTGAAGTTGAGGCCTGGCGTGGTGGCTCACCCCTGTAATCCCAGCGCTCTGGGAGGCCAAGGCGGGAGGATCACTTGAGGCCAGGGGTTTGAGAGCAGCCTGGCCAACATGGCAAAACCCTGTCTCTACTAAAAATGCAAAAATGCAAAAATCAGCTGGGCTTGGTGGCGGTCGCCTGTAATCCCAGCTACTCGGGAGGCTGAGGCAAGAGAATCCCTTGAACCCGGGAGGCGGAGGTTGCAGTGCACTCCAGCCTAGGTGACAGAGGCAACCCCCGTCTCAAAAAAAAAAAAAAAAAAAAAATTGGCTTTCTTTTTTTGTTGGGGATGGGGATGGGCAGCAGTGGTGGAAGGCATACTTAAGTCTCTCTGTGCTTACTAATTTAAATCTTTCTGACAGATTTCTGGGTCAGTAAGGGTGAGAGCCAGACTCCAAACTATAGTAAATTTTCCGAGATTTGTGTAAGTATTCTAACGTTTCAACTATGTCGTGGATATTTTTAAACTTCAAAATGTGTGAAAATTTAGGAAACAGGGAAAAAAAAAAAAAAAGAATATCATATAATTCAGCCACAGCCACAATGGAGAGCACCAGTATGTATTAATACACTGATAATTTTGGTACGTTTGGTACATTTGTAAATTTAGAATACCAAATGTAGTGTTTAAATTCTCATCTTGGCCAGACACTGTGGTTCATTCCTACAATCCTAGCACTTTGGGAGGCTGAGGTGAGAAGATCACCTGAGTCCAGGAGGTGGAGAGCAGCCTGGGCGACATAGAGAGACCCTGTCTCTAGAAAAAAAAATGTTAAAATTAGCTGGGCATGGTGACAAGGGCTTGTAGTCCCAGCTACTCAGGAGGCTGAGGTGGGAGGATCCCTTGAGCCAGGGAGGTCAAGGCTGCAATGAGCCGTTATTGCTCCAGTCTGGGGAATAGAGTGAGACCCTGTCTCAAAAAAAAAATTTCTCCTGTTAACATACTCCTAACACTGAAGGTATATTAAAAGTTTATTAGTGCACTTGGAGCTGCATTTCACCTAAGTAACTTGACTGAAACGTGACATATTTGAAGAAAGAAAGTACTGAATTGATAAAATTTGACCTGGTGACAGGCATTATCTGATAAATTTTCTTTTTTTTTTAATTTAAGTTTTAGGGTACATGTGCACAACGTGCAGTTTTGTTACATATGTACACATGTACCATGTTGGTGTGCTGTACCCATTAACTCGTCATTACATTAGGTATATCTCCTAATGCTATCCCTTCCCACTTTCTTTCCACTGGCATCTGGACTGTTGGAAATAGACATTTTAATTTTAATTAACCAATTCAAAAAGCATTCGCCAATTACTTACTGAGTGTTAAGAATAATACTAGATATTGCAGAGAGAGACATAATAAAGAGTCTCAGGCCAGGCACGATGGCTCACACCTGTAATCTCAGCACTTTGGGAGGCCAGAGCAGGTAGATCACTTGAGGTCAGCAGTTCAAGACCAGGCTGGCCAATATGGTGAAACTCCATTTCTGCTAAAAATATAAAAATTAGGGCCAAGTGCAGTGGCTCATGCCTGTAATCCCAGCACTTTGGGAGGGTGAGGCAGGCGGATCACCTGAGGTCAGGAGTTCAAGACCAGCCTGGCCAACATGGCGGAACCCCTCCTCCACTAAAAATACAAAAATTAGCCAGGCTTGGTGGTGCGCGCCTGTAATCCAGCTACTCAGGAGGCTGAGGCAGGAGAATTACTTGAACCCCAGAGGCAGAGGTTGCAGTGAGCAATATTGTGCCACTGCACTCCATCCTGGGCAACCGAGCAAGACTCCATCTCAAAAAAAAAAGCAGTTTCTATCTCATGGTGATGGAAATGGTTAGACCTGAAAACAAATAATTACAGTGTTTTGGAGAAAACACTCTAATTGAAGGTTCTGTGAGATGCAATGGAAGCAAAAGGTAGAAGCATTTAACTTTGTCAGGCAAGAAATCTTTTATTAAATTTGTGATATTTAAGACGAAATCTTTTTTTTTTTTTGAGACAGAGTTTTGCTTTGTTGCCCAGGCCGGAGTACAGTGGTGCAATCTTGGCTCACTGCAGCCTCTGCCTCCTGGGTTTAAGTGATTCTAGTGCCTCAGCCTCCTGGATGAAATCTTAAGAATAAGTTGATATCTACCAGGACACAAGCAGTAGTAGGGCATTGTAGATAGAAACATTATATGGAAAATGGTGGTATTGAAATACCATGGTCCTTTAAGGACTGTTTCTCATATTTGGAAGAGTAGGGTGCATAGAGTAGTAAGAGGTAAGTCAGGTAAGTAGGAGCTAGAAAATGACCTTGTGGGCCTCACTTAGTAGTTTGTTCTAATGGCCAAAGGGAAGCTACTGAGTTTTAAGCAACAGAATTATGTGACTGGATTTGTGTTTTTCAGAAAATTCATATGCTAATAGTAGCAATGCAAGCTCCATTAGGAGACTATTGTAAGTAGTTCAGGTACAAGATGAGGTCTTTAACTTGTCAGTGAAGTGGGATTCAAGAGGAAGAATGAGATTGGAGAGGTTATGAAATAGAATCAGTAGGGTTAGGTGTCCTAGATTGTTGCAGTTAAGCTGCGTCGCCCCCTCCACTACCCACACCAATTTTTCACACCTACCCATGTCTATAACCTTGGGTAGCCTCCTCCCAGACTGATTTAAGTGATTTGCTTTGACCCTTGGGACAATAGCAATTGTAATGTTAGTAGAGACTTGAAAAATTCTTCCACATTGGGATTCACACTCTTACTGCTGGCAACCCTTTGCCACAATTTGATTAAATCAAGGCTAGCCTCCTAGAAGATAAGACCACTTTGAGAGTGTCCCTAGCTCTCCCAGCCTTCCCAGTTGTCTCAGCATTCTCAGTTGAAGCCCCAAACATATGTGTGAGGCCATCCTAGTATGAGCCAGTCTACACATAGAATTATAGGAAATATAGATTCTCTTCTCTTTTTTTTTTTTTTCTTTCTTTCTTTTTTTTTGAGATGGAGTCTCGCTCTGTCACCCAGGCTGGAATGCAGTGGCCTGATCTCAGCTCACTGCAACCTCTGTCTCCTGGGTTCAAGCTATTCTGCTGCCTCAGCCTCCCGAGTAGTTGGAACTACAGGCACCTGCCACCATGCCCAGCTAATTTTTTTTTTTTTTTTTTTTTTTTTTTGGCTTGAGCCACCGCGCCCGGCCTAATTTTTGTATTTTTAGTAGAGACGGGGTTTCACCATATTGGCCAAGCTTTTCTTTAACTCCTGACCTTGTGATCTGCCCGCCTCAGCAATCCCAAAGTGCTGGGATTACAGGCATGAGCCACCATCCCTGGCCTATAGATTATTTTCTTTTAAGCCTCTAGGTTTGGGGCAGTTGGTTTCATAACAAGATTAACTGATAGCCTAACTAACCAAGTATATGGGGCAGGTAAGAGGAATAGTCTAAGACAAATCTTTATTTTTTAGCATGGATAGATGGATAAATCAATATTGGGAAGTTATATTAGAATTAGTAAATTGGTGGCATTACCAGATGAATAGGGAATTTTTCTGAAAGACCAAGTTTAGACAGATATCAATAAATTTGGCTTGGAAATACTGAGTCTTCGGAGTTCCTGGGAAACATACAGGTGAAGATATCCAGTTGGCAATTTGATGTAAGGATCTGGAGATAGAAAATTTGAAGTAAAAGCTGTGACTTTAAATAACATTGCCTATTTCTCATTTATGCATTTTCAGAGCCTTTTTTTGTAGATTCTTTGTAGACAGTGTTGTCTACAAATAGAAACAGCTTCTTCCTTTCTGATGCCTGTGTCTTTTATTTCTTGCTTTATTGTGTTAACTGTAACTGCCAATGTGATGTTATTAATAAATTAAATAGAAATGGTGACAGTAGACATCCGTGCCATGCTCCTGATTTTAAGGGGAATACATTCAACCTTTTACCATTA